AGTGTAGTTCCTCTTGTTCACCTCTAGCACTCAAGGAATCTGACGGTCAGCCAACTCCCGGAGCCCGACGGTAGACTTTATAACTGAACTTGGTTCCCGTAAAGGTTCTTTATTGAGTCTTCAAGTACTTGGTGGCCCATCGGCTTTCAGCCGTCATAGGTGTAGAATACCATTCCGAGGAGAATGTACTCTCTCTGTTCTAGTCTCCCTTTGACCTTTGAATAGGTTCAAAAACTGGTGGTTTTCATGTGTGTTTTCTTGTACACCCTATCAACGTGCACGCAAAAATGTGGTTCGTTTTGATCGGGGACAAACAAATGTCTCTTCCATTCCTCTGTCCTCCCTCTGCCCACAACCCGTAGGCATGCTTACCGGTCCCGGGATTTCTGCTCCTGTACCTCATCGCCTCTCATATGCTGGTTCCTTCATCCTTGTCATGGATCATCGGATGTGTCAGGCGGATGAGGTGAGTGGCCATGTCATGATTCAGGCAAAAGCAGCACTGCTTTTCCTTTTTTGGAATAACCCGGACGCTTCCGGCTTATTCCCTACCGTGGATAGGATAACCCGGGATCAACATATAGGATAACCCGGGATCGACAGATAGGATAAACCGGGATCGACAGATAGGATAACCCGGACGCTTCCGGCTTATTCCCTACCATGGATAGGATAACCCGGGATCGACAGATAGGATAAACCTGGATCGACAGATAGGATTCCCTGGTTCATCACCACATCACAACCCCTTTGCGTCGCCAAGACTCTACCCCTGGATTCAATTGCCAATGGGTTATATTGACTCCTTTGTGTTGCCATGGATTATTTGTCACCCTGGTTTCAATTGCCAATGGGTTATATTGACTCCTTTGTGTCGCCAGGGATCATGCTTCACCTTGGTTTCATTTGTTAATGGTTTATATTGACTTCTTTGTGTCGCTAGGGATCGTGCCCTAGCTCCACATGTCGACTTGACATACCCTTTTATGTACATTGCCAATCGGTGTCAGGACTACAGTTGTTCCTGCAATCGGACCCCTTTATTATACAGTATATAAGTAGTGGTAGAATCTCCTTGTACAGTAGATTCTACCTCCAGTAACCATATGAAGTTTGTTTAAGCAATGGCTGTCTAGACATACAATCAGACTTGAGCAATGCTCCGATTAATCAGGAGGTGGCCCCTGCAAGGGAGCTCAGATCGCGATAGGTGTTTAAACAGGATTAAACTTTGTTCTGATTGAACAGAACAGTGCTCAAACGAACCACGAGGGAGCAACAAAAATGCGGCCGCTCCGAGTTTCGAACTCAAGTCCTATGAGTTTCGTTATAGAACACAGCCAACAACATTCACCACTACACCAAGGACCCATTGATCAAGCTTTCTGTCAAAGGCCTATGGCTTGGGATACCGCTCTCCTCTCTGCCTTCAAAACATTGTGTATGTGTCAGTTCTTCATTCATTAAGTCCTTTTTGAATGTGACCGTACAAGAGGAGAGTACTTAGTGACACCAGAGGTAGAATCTGATTTGGTAGTATTGCCCCAAAATACCAGGACATGTGCACCTATTCCGTCTGTGAACTCAAGTCCCTGCTTTGTGCTCTGTGTTCAAGACTGAAGGTGATGTATGTGTCAATTGAGTTGAGCTCTTCATTCATTCCACCACATTCTCCTACACATACTACAAAGCACCAGTGGTTCACAGAGTTTGTCTCTGTGGAGCTGGGGCTTTGCTCTGGCATGTGAGTGCACTGTTGACTTGAATATGCTGTGAAGAATTCATCCGTTATTAAGGTGCTTCATAATTAGAATTCTGACCCCCAACTTGTGGTGCAAATTCTGCCTCAACTCTGGCCCAACTGGGGTCGAGTTGGGGCAGGCTTGTTTGTGAAACAGCTGAGTGCATACCTTCCTTAAATTATGCAACTTGTTCCCGGCCATAACATACCAAATTGCGAAAAAAAAAAAGTACAAACAACTCTCTTCTTCTTCCACCACAATGTACTCTTGGCCATGTTCACTCTCTTTGTGGATAATCCTTAGCATATAAGCTCAATTATCTGTCTGATCCATGCCTACCACCTCCAACTGTCAGCTCTTGATTGAAAATATTCTCCACCAGACAGAGAACTTGCATCAATGGCTCGACGACAAGGGCAAGATGGATGTTGATGAACCCGTGCATGCCTTCGAATCAGATAGCGATACATATTCAAGCAACTCAAGTAGCTCCTCCAGTCCTTCTGGATTGAGTAATGGATCTATGCATTCATTGGGCAACATCTCAGAAGACAACGAGGATGAGGTATACACAGCAAAGATGAGCGCTGACAGTGAGCTCCTACAGGCCATTTTGGAGATGTACATGCTAAATCTGAATACAGTGGCCAAGGTATCGCAGCTGCACTTGGTTCTTGTGGAGTTCAAAGAGGATAATCCCAAAAGATTTTTGTGTAACCTTCGATGAACTCGTCTTACACATCAAGACCCACCCTACCTTCTCAAACAACTCCCGCCACCCCCTAACACTTACATTCAGCTTGCCATCGTCGGTGTAGGTCTGCGTACATCTGCGTAGGTCAGCATAGGTCTGGCTAGCTCTGTCAAGGTGAGTGTAGTGCAGTGGAGGTGTGCCCAGTGTACTAGACTGAGCGGGTTCATATGCAAACAACACATCCAACTGAAGTCCTAACTCTGCCCAGCACTCAACGAGCGCTTTTGAACAAAGAAGGGGCAAAAATCAAGGGATCAGACTTTGATGTCAATTAATCATGGGTTGATCAGTGTTGCAGTGGGCCAGAAATTGATCTAGTGCCAGGGTGCCGCAGAAATGGAACCAGAGGGTTGAAAGGTATGTATTGTTCAGTGTCATATATGTGGGTGGCAGAACTTAAGATAAGTCGAGGCCAATAAAGGTGAGTGTAGGTGATCTACAATTAGCTACACTGATCTAAACATTCCTAGGCTAGGTGAGCTGAGCAGACCCATACATAATTACGTCCAGCTCAACTCAATTTGGTCCAGCTGTGCATAGGTGACCTAAACTGACCTGTTGTAGGCGCCTACACTGACCCATACCGCGCTACGTCCAGCTGAACTGAGTCTGCATAGGCCTGGAATGCAGTGTCTGGAGACAGTTAAAACTCTGGTGACAATGAGTAGAGATTTTCCATATTTTCTGTAGGCCAGTTTATTTAAGACTAAATTATCTGCCAGGGGTGCCACAGAACATAGAGAATAGATGTAGTACTCGTATTATGAGGTCGGGTTACTGAATCCCTACAAATATATCCTGTCTGTGTCACTAGTAATTAATTCAAAGCCTACTTAAGGGCATGTTAAGGGAGAATGATGGCCCCTCACTGAAGCCAGAAAATGATTGTGCAGCGTTGCGGGATGCTCTGAGTAAAAAAGACATGGACCTGATGTCAGTTTCAACCATTTTCTGTGATGTGGACATACATTACAGCTGGGCATAGAAATGATAGCTTGGAGTGGGTTGTTGGACTGGCAAAAGTTATTCCCTGAGGAAAAACTGAGGGATTTGCCTGGAGGGCGAGGGTTGAGAGGAGGAGGAACTCAATTCTATGGTGCATACAGATATATCTCAACCGGTCTCAGCTCTGTGCCTTCGTTGTGGCAATTTCAATGGATTTTCCCCCTTAGGAAATTAAGCCTTAGTTAAGGGTACCCTCATTAAGGCCATCTTAAGGGTCCTAAGGGTTAGCAATGAAAAAGACTGTTAATAAGGCCTTAATCTGCAACACTGGGGAGACAATGCAGAGTCGTATCATGCCTGGGATCTCAAAGGTGAGGGGGATGTGAGGTTAAGGACCTGAGTACCGCGACATGGTGATTGTGACGTGGTGATTGGGACGCACTTGGTTGTTCTGAGCTGTGAGCAGCTTAAGCTTGTACTTCATCCTCTTCACCTTTATTTGACCCATCTCCTCCCTGTGCTGAAGCTCCGTGGGATCTAGTAGTGTTAAGTATGGATAATCACCTGTACCTTACTGCCTGTTTGTCTTCGGTAGACTCATTATTCAGTCATTTGGACCACATGAGTATAATAACCCCCTCCCCCCCTAAGCCACATTCTTAACCCACCAATACCAACTCCTGTCCATACAGTTAGGTGACACTGCGGGTGGCAATTTTGGATGCTTGCCACAGAATCACATGTCAAGCACTTGGACAATTGGATATAGTTTTACCATCATCCAACAATAGTGAGCTTGTGCCCAAGCGGCATGCAGCTTTTTACAATTTTGCCTAGGAGTCAAATTATGACACCCCAATGCTATTACACAGTCGTAATGGCCTTTAGAGGAAGAAAACAAAACACTGCATGCCACTTTTTGCACAATTAAAAATCAACATGCAGCTTGGGCACAAGCTCTCTAATACTTCCAATGTATGCACACAGATCTGGTCGGGGTTCAAAATCAAGGTCAATTTTTTTTTTTATCAATCCCTCCTCCGAGTTTCAAATCCCGAGTTCCCCTTGAGGGATCTATCTGGTCAGGTGCACACCTTGTGTCACCAATGCTTGAGCCAGAACAGTGTGATTGAGATGAAGTGGGTGTGCCTGACCTCATTGTTGGAATTCAGATACCAATAGATCACAAGCTTTCGTGGGCGCACACACATGTTCTCCTCCTTTAAGCGATCATATACTTTGGGAGTTCCATTTCCCATCTATTCAATGATAATTTTTCTCAAAGCCTTGCCAGTTTAAACTTTAGACCTTGAGTCTTGAACACAGAGCACAAAGCAGGGGCTTAAGTTCACAGACCTAATAGGTGCACATGTCCTGGTATTTTGGGGCAATACTACCAAATCAGATTCTACCTCTAGTGTCACTAAGTACTCCACTCTTGTACGGTCACATTCAAAAAGGACTTAATGAATGAAGAACTGACACATACACAATGTTTTGAAGGCAGAGAGGAGAGTGGTATCCCAGGCCATAGACCTTTGACAGAAAGCTTGATCAATGGGTCCTTGGTGTAGTGGTTAATGTTGTTGGCTGTGGTTCTGTAACGAAACTTATTGGACTTGAGTTCGAACCTCGGAGTGGCCACATTTTTGTTGCACCCTCGTGGTTCGTTTGAGCACTGTTCTGTTCAATCAGAACAAAGCTTAATCCTGTCTAAACACCTACCGCAATCTGAGCTCCCTTGCAGGGGCCACCCTCCTGATTAATCGGAGCATTGCTCAAGTTTGATTGTATGTCTAGACAGCCATTGCTTAAACAAACTTCATATAGTTTCTTCTACCTCGTCTATACTCCGGCCTTGATTGGACTTGTGTGTGACTTAAGCTTGTCTTGCTTCTGTCTCTCTCGTTGCCCCTGGCTCTGCCTTCTATCCTGGTCTTCGTCGTTGACTCGTTGGCAACCCTTGGCTCCTATCTTTAACCCCTGACCTCTACGATTGGTTGCCACGGCCTAAGGGCTTAGTGGTTCGGTATCGGAACATGTCCTCACCACTCGTGTCCATACGGATTAGCGAGGCAGAACCTCGGGATGTTATCCGGCAGAGGGCTGCATGGGCAGAAGGCATAGCGCCCATCATCGAACACGACACCACGACATCCTGGAACACTCGTATTTTCGGTCTGGAGTTACATGTGTCCGAGAACACTCAAATCGGACACTTCCTGCCTTCGGATCTCTCCTGTTGAACAAACCCTGGAATAACCCGGTCAGACAAGTACATGCGGTGACTATGGACCGGGTTCTTCCTGCGTGACATGCTGGTCACGCATCGTTCGGGTTCTTCCCACGGTTCAACTTGTACGGATCCTCGGCAGGCAGTCACCCGCTATCGAGACGGTGACGGATTCCCCTCAACACCCGCGCTGGGACGATGGCTGTGTTTGGCTCCGTGGCAGTCAGGCCGACCTAAAGTGCCGTCGCTGACAGGCCAGATCCGAATCTTCTTCCCTACAAGTCTCGGTGGAGGCAGCTGTTCGTTCGAAGATACCAGTGTCCACATCGGGGTAGGCTAGGAATCTGTGGTTTTCCGTCCCTCGTACAGCCCGTCCTCCTTGTGGAGTCTAAACGCCAGTGAGGGGGTGCTTTGCGTTCACGAATTGCTGCCTCACTGCCAGGCTGCAAACGCGCTTGAGCCTGGGTAACCAGTGTGATCAGCAGGGCGATGTCTCGTCTTACCACGTCTTTTTCGATGTGGCAAGTCGGCGATACGGGGCGAGCGGATGTTACATGTCTTGCTCAAGTTCCTTATTTGGGGGTGGTAACACACCCCTTGAGCCCTGTTCTCGATTCATACTCTTCCTCCGCTCGCTCAACTTCTCCCCTCCCATTTCAAACTCTCACTCGTTCTCAAATATTCCTCATGCCCTGCCGCTACTTTTTAATGCTGACCGCAATCTCTTCAGTCCGGCAGGTCCAGGAACCCAATACAAAGTAACACTCAAATGTGAGCCTTCATCCTGGTCCCCTACCGACTGCTCTGGTGATTTGTTCCTCAAGCACCCTACAAGTCGTCCCACGTTGCGCCCCGCATTCAAGTCCCTTAACCTTGTCTAGAACATAATCCCCCCCCCCTTCAAGTTTGCGCGTTCACTGCCGTCAAGCCGGAGTCAAGCTCATGATTCATCGTTCAAGCCGCAACTTACAACGAATTTTTACCGCGTGTTCAACGCCGGCAACCGGAGTCAAGGATCATTCAAGTCGCAAATCAACCCGAATCTTCCGTGCTTGGTCTATTTCAAGCAAAGCTCGCAACGCAACGATAGCAAGTTCAACCACTTTCAACACTCCGCAAATCAGCGAGTGCTTCTTCTGATTGGACAACTCCGCGACGACAAGGTAGTATCAATAGTATCAACTGTCTTGAAAACTCTCCGCGCAAATTGGCAACGGGCTCGTTGAATCAAATCAATATCCACATCCTCCTGCTCCTTGTCATCTGGATTCGCTACGCCGGGACCGGTTTCAAACCGGTCCTTATTTTACTATACCACTACCCACTAGTCGAAATCCCCATCGTCGCAGCTCGTTGTGGCCGTCTTTCGTACATATTTCGACTGGTAGTTATCGTTGTTGATTTATCGTACCTACAGTCGAGCAGAATTGATTAGTTTTCTCGCTCTTACCTGTGCAACTGGCCGATTCGAGTCTCCGATAAGTTCACTATGAGGTCTATAATGTCTATGAATATGAGCTCTTTCATAGACAGGCGGCGTACTATAATGGTCTTTGAGTGTCTATAAAGTTGAACATGGTCCCCCCACCTTACTAGTGGGGTGGCCTATTTACTATGAGGTCTATAATGTCTATAGCTGTCTATAGCGGTCTTTGTGGGTCTATACGACAACTTTGGATTTTCCTGATGCCTATGGTGGGTGGGCAGAGGAGAGAGGCCGCGGCGCAGATGCCGAGGAAACAGTGCCCCGAGTCGGCGCAGGAAATAAGTCGCGCAAACTCGGCCGCAAGCCTCGGAGCGGGCAGCGGCACATGCCCCGATAGACCCACGCCGAGTGTGATGTGATTCCGCGCAGATGGCACCTGCCAGGTCTACTCGACCCGACAGTGTGGGCGGTGCGGCGGGTGCGGCGGTGTGCGCGAGGGCGGGGGAGGGCAGAACTGAGGGATAGGGTGGGGACGAGGGCGCGGACCAGGGATAGAGAGGAGGGGCGGGGATGCGATGCGATGCAAAAATAAAATGGGAGGATAGACAAGCTTGCCGAGTCGATCCGTTGTACATGTCTTGTGAGAGGAGTGACAGGTGGCGGTGCGCCTTCTCTCCTTTCGAGCCACCACCGACATCCTCAACAGATTCCCTCTATTTTCGCAAAAATAAAAATAAAAACAGAGGAGAATTCAAAGATACGCGGCCTTGCATTCTCCTTCCCACTGAGCAGCGCTGACGATCCCGCGCGCACATGGAGCGTACAGCGTGCCGCGACGTCGAGACGTAGTGGGCAAGCAGGTGAGGCGACATCCATTGTGCGTTCTCACAATTTCGTTGGATTCCGTGTCACCGAGCCATGTTCGATTTTGATTGAGAACCCGTGACCGTTATCGCGATCCATAAAAGGCGCGTCACGGTCTTTGTTCCCACCCTCGCTCTTTGTCCCTTGCTTTCTGCATCTCTCTGTCCCTCGGACTCCCTCCTCGTCCCCCACCGCCCCAAATATGCTTCACAACTACGCCTCCACGGTGGCACCCGCAGACACCGGGCGCCGTTACTGCAGGAAATGCAGTCAAGTGCTGGCCATCACCGAACGCTTCAAGGCCTGTGAAGGTTGTCGCGCAAGGGAGCGCGACTATGCGCGCGGGAGGAGGAACGCGCAGAGGGCAAGTGTACAGACCGAATTGTCTCGCGCTTTCACTTCCCGTCCCCAGGTGCGCGAGCAGTACATCTTGCGTCGTGCCACGAAGCTCACCATCGGACGGACATATTAACAGGTGGCTCTGGACAACTATTCAAGTGCTTCTGCGTCGTCGTGGACCGCTCCCAGCTGGCCTGTGGGATACTCCTTCACTCCGGTGCGTAATCTCCCCCCTCTCTTTCATGCCGTCCACTTTACCCAGACGCTCCGGGTAGTCTCCAGCTGATCCCTCGTCGACCTCTGTCGCTTCCCGCTACACATCTCCATCCCCGCCGGTCGCAGACACTGCGCCCGCCGCAATGCCACCATCTCGTACACTTAATGCTGTGAGTGCAGGCAGACAATCCAACGTCATATTGTTTCTGAGATGTCGATCCAGCACGCACGAGCCACTCATTACACATTTACTGCGAGCGCGGCTACATCGGCGCCTGCTGACGGCGCGAGCGCTTCCCTTGTGAGCACATTTTGGCCATTCCATCTTCCTCCCGCTCACATCGATGCCGTTCAGGACGCCCCTCCCGCATACGCAGCCGCCCCCACCGCTCGTCCGAGTGGCTCATTCCTGGAGCGGCTCCTAACCGACATCGCTCTTGCGACGGGGTGGCTTGCGACCCTGCAGTCAATCGGAATGACGGAGGCAAATCTGCGCGTCATGGCGGACTGGGAAGAGCAGCGCCGGGACGCGCTGATTGCAAAGGTGGTTCCAGCGATGAGTATCATGGATCGCGCTCTGCTTGGGGAGGCGATATCCCGGCTGTAGACTGTTGTGCCATTTGTAGCTCAGTGTTCATACCCTTTGGGAGGGTCGTATTGCGTGTATCAGTAGTACATAAATGTTGAATGCGGCGGAAAATGTATTCCACGTACAGGGTCCACAAGAAGTGAGGAAGGTTTGGTAGCACTCGGGAGTATCCACAATCCATGCAACGTCTCTTTGAGGAAAGCGAAAGAAACTTGTTCGAGCAAAAGCTAGTGCATATGTCGATCTCGATTTTGCTCCATTTCCGCGAGGCCTGCGCTTCAAGCTTCAACTTCTTACACCACCATTCTCCCGGTGTAGTGTCCTGCTGCGTAGCCTACAGGCCAGGTACAGCATAAATAGAAATATGAATGAATGAATGAATCATGGTTATACCTCGGGGTCGATTCCGAAGTGATGTTGAAGCTAAAAATGGGAAAGAGAGTTCAATCTACCTATGGACCCCAGGAAGAGGGAAGTGACGGGGAACATCACTCGGTTTGCGACCATTTCATGCAAATGCCCTAGGCTTGAGGTAATTTGTCTTTCGCTCCAGCGCAACCGAGATGACCGAGATGACCGAAATTCAACCAGCCCGGGGATGTCGGATCTGCCGGTGCCTCGTCCATCACTACACTGCGACGCGGACACACACCGCTGCATGTATTATGGTGCAAAATTCCAGAAACATGAGAGGTAGACCAACACTACAATTACACAAAGCAACGCTTTGACTATTCCTCCGCGACCACCACAACAGCCTTCGCTTTGTTGGTCCCCTTCTGCACCGCCAGAATGACATCCCCAACCTTGTCCAACCCCTTCGTGACATCCTCACTGTACTTGAGTTCCCCACTCGCAAGCTTCGCAGGGATGGTGTCGTAAAACTCCTTGTAATACTTGGGGAGGAGTCGGAAGACGAGGATGCCGTGGATGTGGAGGGTCTTTCCGACGACCATGCTCATGTTCTGCATCCGAAA